TCTCCTTCTTGGACCTTGTTAAGCAGTCTCCCTCCATCCCTCCATCCTCGCATCTCGCCATTCCTCCCCCCCCTCCATCCCTCCATCCTCCCATCTCGCCATCCCTCCCCCTCCTCCCTCTAGTTCTTCTTCAACATTGGTTAGCAGCCTTCCTCCATCCCTCGATTCTCCCATCTCACCATACCTCCCCGCCGCCTCCATCCATCCATCCATCCATCTTCTTCTTCTTCTTCTTCTTCTTCTTCTTCTTCTTGGATGTTGTTTAGCAATCTCCCTTCATCCATCCATCCTCCCATCTCGCCATCCCTCCCTCCCTCCCTCCCTCCATCCATCCATCCATCCATTCATCAATCCATCTTCTTCTTCTTCTTCTTCTTCTTCTTCTTCTTTTTCTTCTTAAACATTGTTAAGCTGTAGGGCGAGAATTGAAGTTGCAGGGAGGAGGTGGTTGCAACACCATGGCTCGTAGGAGCACTGCAAGGGGTGCGATTGGTGGACAAGGAAGTCGGAGGCAGTTGGAAAGAGGAGAGGGCAGCGGGAATGACATGGCTAGCTCAAGTACACCTTCGTCGGGGGTGACTTCTAAAGAACCGATACCAGCTACTGACCCCTCGCTGTTCGTCCCACGACCTGAATGAAGGCAAAAGAAGCTGCAGGGCGAGAAGGAGATATGGAAGCACGTGGAACAAGGGCAGGAGGTTGTGTCGAAGGGCGGGGGAGAATATTGGCTGAGGTGTCAGCTATGCTTGACCATTTGGAGGGGCAGGAGCACACGAGCAGTTGAGCACTTCATGAAGATGCTCAAGTCGTGTCCTTTCAGGACAGGGGAGATTGTGCATAAGCTGGTGGCCCAAAGGGTGAAGGTGCTGCCAAACGACAAGAAGACTCGCTATCTATTACAGAACTACCGACAGCTGCACAACATCTCAGAGGGGGGGGCTGCAGCAAACGACGATGATGCGGACACAGTTGTTCGTCGTGGTTACGAGGAGCCACAACCGCCGGTTGCTGCAGGGAGCGAGCCGGTCGAGAAGATGGCGCAGCGGAGAAAGGAAAGTGCAGCGGGGGCGGCGCTGCGAGAAGAGTGTCAATCCACCACAAGGGCGGCTCCGGTGCAGCAAATGACCATCACGAGATGGGTGGACAATGCAGCTCAAAAGAAGTTGGACATTGCATGGGCGGAGGCAATGTTCGGGGCGGGAATCGCGTTCAATTTTTTGAACTTCGACACTACTCTCAAACTGCATGAGGTGTATTTGGAGGTGGTTAGCGCACGACCGAAGGTGAAATTGCCTTTTGCGAAGCACATCCAGACGGTGATACTCGACTTTATCTTTTTGTGCATTCAAAAGCAAGTGCAGCCTCTGACTGCATGATGGGATGTCACGGGCTGCACTTTCATCACGGATGGGTCGAAAAGAAAGGTGAACAAGAAGGCCGTCCAAATTTTGGAGCGGCGCACGGACTTGGCGGTTTCACGGATACCTTGGCTTCCGTGTGCTGCGCATTGCTGCAGCTTGCTGCTACGGGACATCAGCAAGTTGGATTGGATCAAGGACACGGTGAAGCGGAGCCACACAATTGTGAAGTTTATACGGAACCACCACTGCACACATAGCCTAATGATGTCGTTGGACGACTCATTATTGTTGTTGCGATGGACCGAGGTTCGTTTTGGGTCGCTCTACATGATGATCGAGCGGTTGTACGATCGGAGGGCGGTTTTGAAGCAGATGGTTGAAGGGAGCCTAGTCGGGAGATGGAAGGCAATGTGGTGTTCGGCGACCAAGCTGCAGTCCAAAGCGGATCTTGTCTTCTTCACATTGTGGAGGGAGGGTTGGTAGCCGGAGTTGAAGAAGGTGGTGGAGGTGATGGAGCCATTCTATCTATTGTTTCGGAGGATGGACAAGGACGGGACTGCCCCGTCAAACCTTGTGGAGTACGACTGACTAATGGAGAGGATGCTGGCGGAGGTCATGCTGACGGAGGAGCAGCGACGTACGGTGCTCAAGAAGGTGAGGGACCGCATGAAGATGATGCGGCAACCGGTACACGCCTTGGCTTTTCTTCTCGACCCACGGAGGAGAGAGCCAAAGTGGTTGTTGGACCGGGACAACGCACTTGTGCAGAACACACTACGTTATTTGCAGCGGCAGATAGGTGGCTCTTCGAAATCAAACGCCCACGTGCAGATTCTCAACGAACTGCGAGAATTCCACACGAAACCCACCGGGTACAACCCCCGACAGAAGGACAAGAAAATGTGGGATGGTGATGCGGGAGGAGATTCTAACGCCATCTCGCCATCGGAGTGGTGGGCAACTCATGGCGGCGATGTGCCGGAGCTGCAGGCCATTGCCATGAAAGTAATGGGCGTGTGGAGCACGACGACTACGGCGGAGCGGAATTGGTCTTCGATGGACTTGGTCCACTCGAAGCGGCGGAATCGGTTGACCCCCCCAACCTTGGAGAAGTTGGTGTATATTCACTGGAATATGCAGCTGCTACAGTCCGGGAAGAACTTGAAGGACCACAACTACATCAACTTGTGGGCGCAGTTCTTCGAGTCTCTTCCGGAGCCTGAGGTGGACGATGGTTCTATTTTGAAGGACCCCGTGAAGGAGAAGGACAAGACGGAGGAGGAGCTGGTGCGGGAACGGGCCTTCATCAAGACACCAAAGGGCCGGATTCTGAAGAGCCTCGAAGACGAGGAGGAGTGCACCGACGACAACGACCTTGACGACGAGGTGTGGAAGGGGAAGACTCCATGTCCGGAAGCGTCTAGCGAAGGGGAAGTTGATGAGTCATCGGACGATGACTTTGAGTTGGGAATCCCGCCGTCAATCCCGTGCACCACATATGTTGGGAGGAGGGAAGCATCACAGCGCCGTCGAGAACGGCCGCCCACAACACCATCTCAGATTCTCAATGCACGGCGAACACCACAGCGCATTACAACATCCAATCGGATGTCGAACTACCACAGACCGACACCGGCATGGAGATGGTGCTTCGCCCCGGTCCAATCAATACAGATGAGGAGGAGGTCGACCGTGCAAAGGCATGGGCTGATGCGGATCAAGAACGGTTGCAAAGGAGAACGAGGGAGGAGGAGGAGCGACGTGCAGCTATACCAGCTCGCAGAGAATTGGAGAAACTGAAGAAGAAGGTTGGAGAGCGAGAATCGGAGCCGATGGGGGATATGGGCCGGCTAGAGGAGGAGAAAGAAGAGGTGATGGGCCAGCGAGAGGAGGAGGCAGAACACGAGATTGGTCAGCCAGGGGAGGAAGAAGAAAAGATGGAGGAGCAAGAGAAGGAAGAAGAAGAGGCTGGCATGGAGCAGCGAGAGGAGGAGATGGAACAGGAGCAAGGGGAGGGCACGAAACAGCAAGAAGAGGAGCTGGAGGAGAGTGAGAAGGAGCAGCAGCAGGAAAAGACGGAGAACATCGAGGAGGAGCAGCAGCATGCACCGATGACCGTGTACAAGCGTCGGAAGCAAACTGTGGAGACTGCTGGCTCACTGGAGAATTCCCCCGACTTCCCAACCAACAAAGCGGAAGCCCAACACGACAACCTGTGGGTCAGCAGGGTTGGGAGGAAGAGGAAGGCGCCCCGTGAGGACGAACGACCAAAGCCAAAACTTCCACGTGGCAGGCCTCGGAAGAACGCGATCGCCGGTCCGGCTGCAAAGCCGAAAAAAAAAAACCAGCGGTGCAAGCCTCGCAAACAAATTGTTGAGGATGACCCCGAATCCGACAACTGCAGCGAGCAGTTTGCCGAAGACGAGGGTGACATCGCTGACTGAGATGGTGTGTTCGTGTTTGTGAGTGTGTGAATGTGTGAGTGTGTGTGCGTGTGTGTGTGTGTGTGTGTGTGTGTGTGTGTGTGTGTGTATATATATATATATATATATATATATATATATATATATATATAGAGAGAGAGAGAGAGAGAGAGAGAGAGAGAGAGAGAGAGAGAGAGAGAGACAGACAGACAGACAGAGAGAGAGAGAGAGAGAGGTGTTCGAATGTGGATCAATATTGGCCATATGCAGCTGATATGCTCCTGAAGAACTCGTAGATTTCCTGCAAGTTGTCAGTTTGCAAGTCTTCTTCTTCTTCTTGTCAATCTTATCAGTCTTCTTCTTCTTCTTGTCAATCTTATCAGTCTTCTTCTTCTTCTTCTTCTTCTTCTTCTTCTTCTTCTTCTTCTCGTCAGTCTTCTTCATTTTTTGTCAGTCTTGTTCTTCTTCAGAATGAAAGGGTCGATAAGTTGATRRCATGCATGCAGCAGACATCAGAGCAGCAGGCAACAAACATGCAGAGCACCCAACCCAGTACATATCAGATGACATACATTCAGCATACAGTAGGCAACATACATGCAGAGCTCCCAACCCCAGCACCCCCCACCCACCCCCCAAAACCAAAATTTTATTGCGGATTCGGGGTCCTCTCGCCGAGTGTAGAACGACCCCGTTTTCAAAAAAAAATAAAAAAATTCTGGGCGTTTTTTTGGCCCGCCCGGTNCCCCCCCCAGAACCAAAATTTTATTGTGGATTCGGGGTCCTCTCGCCGAGCACAGAACGACCCCGTTTTCAAAAAAAAATAAAAAAAATTCTGGGCGGTTTCTTGGCCCGCCCGGCTTACCCAGGTGGCCCCCCCGGGCCCAACCGGCCAGGCAGAGCCCGGCCGGGCAGCGTCCTCACCCAGTTTTTTTCCCATTTCTTGCTGTATTATTAAACTTTGTTTGTGGTGAGGCCCTGAAATCTACAACTGTCTTTCTAAGTTCATTGTGCGACATTCTCATTTGCAAACATGGCTTACCTTTGGACTTGGTTGCGGGCATCTATTCTGACTAGGTTCATCTCTCTCTTCTTCTTCCCTATCTCTTTCATTTTCTTCGCTGATCAAGAAGAAGTGTAGAGAACAAGAGGACAAATTGATGACCAATGACAACGAATGTCGGGTCGTCTTTGCCAACCGATCACGGAGCTGCACAATGCTGGTTCGGACGCTGAACAACATGTACGCAGCCTGTTCGATCTGCGTGCCTCAGAGGAAGGACTATTGAAGGCTGAAACTGTTGTTGATTTGCTGAAAACCAGAGGACGCATGCAACAGACCATTGATCGAGCTCATATGAGCCTCAATCATTTCGTTGCTGAGCAGTTTGCGAAGATAGCTGGACACGAGACAACATCTCGTATGCTGAGGACGGTGGGCAAGATGACGAAGACGTGGTCGGCCACTACGCTAACATTTGTGCAGGGTGTGTGGACTGGGAAGTAGATAGTGAGATGGGCCGTGAAGGGGATGTGTGGGACAGGGATGAACATAAGGGGGGGGCTGGAGGATGGTGTGAGAACCTGATGGCGCTCTCTTTTCATGTCGGCGCCGAGAGTGCCGACGCCGACAGTGTCACTCATCTGCAACAGGGTGATGGAGACCAGGCGGATGAGTGGGAGGTGGAGCAGGGGTTCATGGGAGAGGTGGTGGTTGTGGTGGAGGAGAGACAGGGAATGAGCGAGATTAGTGTAGAGGGTGGGAAGGTTGACAACAACAACAACAACAACAACAACAACAACAACAACAACAACAACGACGGCGAGCAACGAATGAGCGAAATTGGCGAGACGGGTGTGAAGGACGACGACAACAACAACAACGGTGTCATTCATCTGCAGCAGGGTGATGGAGACCAGGCGAATGAGTGGGAGGTGGAGCAGGGGTTCATGGTAGAGGCGGTGGTTGTGGAGGAGATGCAGGGAATGGGCGAGATCCGCAAGAAGGGTGGGAAGGTAGATAACAATAACAACTTCAACACTGCGTAGCATCGCGCTCGGCCTCAGTGACCGAACCCAAACGCTCGGTACCGAGCCCGTTATTTTTTTTTTTATATATATAGGGGTTGGGGGGGCCTGGGGGGCATCGCTCGTCACTCCTAAACATACACATACACACACACCATAGAAACGCACCCCCAGACACCCCACAGACACCCCAGACACACCCCATGCACCAAACACTCATGAGGAGGCGCTCGACAGCCCCCTAATTTGCACTCGGCCGAACATGTTCGGTTCTCGCTCGGCTGAGTGTCCGAACACATTCGGCTGCTCGGTGGGGCACCGAACATGTTTGGTGTGCTACACAGCTTCAACAAAAACGGCGAGCAGCGAACGGGCGAGACGGGCGAGACGGGCGTGAAGGACGGTGGCAACAACAACAACACTAACAACAACAATGACGGTGAGCAGGGATTGGGCAAAATGGGTGACGAGGGCGTGAAGGATGACAACAACATCAACAATGATGGCGACAACAACAACAACAACAACAACAACAACAACAACCACAACAAAAACAATAACAATAACAACAACAACAGCAACAAGAACAACAACAATCACGACGACGGCGGCAACGACAACCACGGGAGCAGCGGGGCAGAGAGGGGTGGTTGTGCATCTAAGCTCTTTATCAGCATCATGGGGAAAATGTCACCATCAGCGCAGTGGGGGGGGATTAGTAGCTCGTTGGGGTTGGCGAAGTGGGGTTTCTGGTTGAAGGT